CTCATATTTGTCTCTCAGTAGCTGGGGTGGGAAAGTCCGGGCCATATGAGGCATGCAAAATCATTTGGTTTGGCCCTCCCAAGGCAACTACAGGCAGGACTCAAAATTCAATAAATCTAGGAGCTTTTAAAATAGAAACAGAAATTTATATTAAGTGAATCATAAAAATAATGTAAATTTTGGGGGACAAGCAAGGAACGTCCATTATAGGACCGGCAGGACACATACGAGTACATGATGGGACAGACACATTTGCTATTTGATGGCTGCCCAGGTCCCAGCTGCCTGTATTGTGGTGACTCAGAGGACAGTCAGTGCCAGGCAGCTGGGAGTGGACACGTTTCAAAAGTGTTAACACACTGTGGCAAAACTGCGGCAATACGGTGATGATAAGGCAAGAAGAAATGAGATGATTCCTCCAGACATTGATGACCTTGTCTCTGATGAATGACGCTGATGTTGTTGACTTCTTTGTCAACACAGCTGATAATTTCAATCCAACTTTTATCCAAACATCCACAATCAACAAACCTTGCAAAAATTGAATCTCAGATGAAGATTAAGGAAATTACAATACACAGAAAAGACCTTAAGAGTCGATACTAACGTTGGATATATTCCAAATCCATAATGCAGGATTAGAACAGTGATCAAAGCAAAATAATCATGTCACTGGCAAAACAAATACTGGATAATTATTAAAACTTAAGTGGGTGATATCCTACAAATGGTGACTACAAAGAAAAGAAAAGCTGATGCAGAGTGTCAATCTTTCCAAGAGAATTAGACAAACGATTGTTTTTTTGTTGTTGAAATCAAAGGCCTTAAAAAATTGACAGCTCCTACTTCCTGTCTTGTGGAACACTCCTTGGAGCCCTGAGCTGCTATATAAGTCTAGCTAGCCCTGGCCAGTTTGGCTAAGCAGTTAGAGTGTCGGCCCACGGACCAGAGAGTCTAGGGTTCGATTCCGGTCAAGAGCATGTACCTGATTGCAGTTCAGTCCCTGGCCTTGGTCACGGTCGTGCAGGAGGCAACCAATCGTTGTGTCTCTCTCACATAAATGTTTCTCTCTCTCTCTCTCCCACTCTATCTGAAGATAAATGGGGAAAAAAAGTATCCTCTGGTGATGATTAAAAAAGAAAAAGAAGTCTAGCTACCTGGTGGAGAGACCCTACAAAGAAGCCCAGACACTACAAAGAGAGGGAGAGGAGTCCAGTTGAGCCCAGGCTTTGAGTCATCCTTTTCAAGGCATCAGGAATGAGAATTAAGTCATCTTAAAGCCTATAGATAAGACTATCCACCAGCTGAATACCACCAAGTGACCCCAGTCAGTGCCATAAGAAGCTGAAGAATTGCTACAAATAGTAAGGTCTAATAAATGATTACTGTTTCAAGCTACTAAATTTTGGGATAGTTTATTATGCAGGAATAGATAACCAGAACAGTATTCTATAAACTAAGGTTTATTAGCTCTAATAGTTTGTTGATTCTGTGAGGATTGTTTTGGCAGTTGATTATATAATTTGTAAATAATGGTAGTTTCATCTCTTCTCTTCCAATTTTTACATCTTACTTTTCTTCTATTACAGCATCATCCAGAGCCTTTCATGCCAAGTTAAATATTAGAAGTGATAGTGAGCACCTTTGTCTTGCTCAAGATAGTAAAAGTGGTATGTTGAAATTTTCTTTGGTAAATATAATGCTTGCTTTACGTTTTTGTTATATAATGTTTACCAACTTTAGGAAACTCCCTACTATTCCTCGATTGTTAACAGGACAGGGATTTTTCCCCCCTGTAAATATGAACCATACTTAGAGATAACCATAAGATTTATTTTCTTATATTCTATTAATGTAAGAAATTACATTGAGATTTTCTCAATATCAACAATCTTGCATTCCTAGAACTTTTCACTTTGAGTGATAACTAGAACTATGGGTTAGTAGCTATCTATTACTACCCAACCAGTCATTACTCCATTATTTTGGTCTTTATTGATTCTGGTAAGTCTGCTGTCAATCGAGTTATAATTCATTTGTAATTAATTTATCTTTTTCGGCCTCATATATTTTAAGATTTTATCTTTATCCTTATTGTTTTGAATTTTCAGTGACATTTTCAGGTACATACTTAGTTTTCTCTATCCTGCCCAGTATCTGAGAACTCACATCTATTTTCAATTCTGGAAAATCTCTTCAAATAATGCTTTACCATTGTTTCTATTAAATCTTCTCAAACACCCATTTGGATATATATTGGAGTCTCATTCTTTCTTCCACGTATCTTCACTATTCTAATTTTTGATATCTTTTTCGTCCCCAACATGCTGGATTCTGAGTGAATTCCTCAGTGATCTTTACATTTGTAAATATGCAGCTTTGTCTCTCTCTCTCTCTCTTTTTTTTTTATTGAAGGAAGAGGGAGAGAGTGAAACATCGATGAGAGAGAACATCAATTGGTCACCTCTGCATGCCCCCCACTGGGGATTTGGTCCACAACCTGGGCATGTGCCCTGACTGGGAATTGAACTAGCAACCTCCTGGTTCATGGGTCGATGCTCAACCACTGAGCCACACCAGCGGGGCAGAGCTTTGTCTCTTATAGCATTTTTAACATCAACTAATTTCTAATATATTTAAATGGTTCTTTTTCATATCCGTACATTTTTATTTTATTTATTTTTTATCCTCACTCAAGGACATTTTTCCATTTTTTGTTCAGGTAGAGTGGGAAGGAGAGAGAGTAGAGGAGAGAGAGAAACATCGACGTGAAAGGGACACACCGAGTGGTTGCCACCCGCAAGACCCAACCAGGGCCGGGGACAAACTGCAACCGAGGTACGTGCCCTTAGCGGGAACCAAACCCGGGTTTCTCTCGGGACCGCAGGCCAATGCTCTAACCGCTGAGCCAAACCGGCCAGGGCTCCATACACTTTTAAATTTCTGCTTCTTTTTACTTAATATTTATTGCTCTTTTCAAATGAAGTTATTTCTTAATTTTTCTTTTTGTTGATTTTATTGTTGCCTGTTTTGGTTTTCAAAATAGGTCAAATAGCCCTGGCCGGTTTGGCTCAGCGGTTAGAGCGTCGGCCTGCGGTCCGGAGAGACCCGGGTTTGGTTCCCGCTAAGGGCACGTACTTCGGTTGCAGTTTGTCCCCGGCCCTGGTTGTGTCTTGCGGGTGGCAACCACTCGGTGTGTCCCTTTCACGTCGATGTTTCTCTCTCTCTCTCTCTGTTCCTCTCTCTCCCTCCCACTCTATCTGTACAAAAATGGAAGAATGTCCTCGGGTGAGGATAAAAAAAAAAAAAAAAAAATGAAAATAGGTCAAATAACTCCTTGATTTCTGATATTGACAACTGTGTGACCTTATATAAAATATAATATTAAAAATAAGAACAAGTGGTTAAGACATAAAAGAGAACTATGGAATTCACCAAAATATGGACTATATTAGAAGGAAAAAAATTGAGAGTAAAGATTATCAATACGGTTATAAGTATGTTGAGTTTGTGGACCTTTGGGAATTCAAACGGAGGTATTTATTAAGTAGTTGGACATGTAACTTCAGTTCTCTGGAGGCACACTTGGTGTAGGAGTATACATTTACAGCAGTTCTCAACCTGTGGGTCATGACCTCTTTGGGGGTGGAACGACCCTTTCACAGGGGTCACCTAAGACCATCAGAAAACACATATTTCCAATGGCAATTCATAACAGTAGCAAAATTACAGTTATGAAGTAGCAACAAAAATAATTTTATGGTTGGGGGTCACCACAACATGAGGAACTATATTAAAGGGTCGCGGTATTAGGAAGGTTGAGAATCACTGATTTAGAATATGGAAGCACATAGGTGGAGTTGAAGGTATAGGAATTGATAGTGTAATCTAGGCTTATCAAAAGGAGGGGCATAGAAAGGCCAGTGACAGAATCATTGTAAAGGCAAACTTGAATGATTGGTAGAGAAAAATGAACTCGTAAGAGAGACAGAGAAAGATGGGAGAACAATGAGCCCAGAGGTAGAGAAAGAAAGAAAGAAAGAAAGAAAGAAAGAAAGAAAGAAAGAAAGAAAGAAAGAAAGAAAGAAAGAAAGAAAGAAAGAAAGAAAGAGGGAAGGAAGGAAGGAAGGAAGGAAGGAAGGAAGGAAGGAAGGAAGGAAGGGAGGGAGGGAGGGAGGGAGGGAGGGAGGGAGGGGAGGGAGGGAGGGAGGGAGGGAGGGAGGGAGGAAGGAAGGAAGGAAGGAAAAGCATTTATGTCAGATAAGCCACACAGGGCTATTTTTCATGAATTGAATCAGAAGTTTTGTCTAGGCTTACAAAAGTGAAATGAAGATGTTTTTGTTTCAGCTAAATAATAGAATCACTTATTAATCAGTTATGCATTATAATTCTAAAACTTAACTTTTTTAATGGTGGGTCATTGAATTGGAAATTTCCCAGTCTTAGTTTTAAGAGGTATTTGCCAGATAATTTAGGACTACACCTGAGAAACTTGTTTGGCACTAATCACTCAAGTCCTATGTATTGCCTTTGTGAATCAGCTGAAGGCAATGCTTATCAGTGGGAAAATGTCAAATATTTTGGGGCCACCACCTATGCTCCCTGGTGACATGATTAATTTCAGAGATGTACTAAGGCCTTTCATGTATTGTTATCCAGAGTTCATTCAGATTTGTTGTTGGTACTGAGGGCCAAAATCAAAGAGAGAGGAGAGAGAGGAACTAATATTCCTTAAACTCTGCCAGGGGCTTTACCTACTTTTTCTCCTTAATGTACTCCTTACAGAAAGTGTACAGATCAGCACCCCATGTTATAAATGGAAGACCTGAAGACCAGGAAAGTGAAGTGACTTGCTAAATTTACACTGTTAATAAGTGATGGAGACAGTCATTCTGACTCTAATACCCCTGGAGATCCCTAGATCATAATGTGATGATTAAATGGATCTGCTGTATTTGTCCAATTAAAAAAATACATATGAATATTCAAGCACAAGGCAGTTATCTGTTGCTGAATGACATTTTATTAGCTTAATAATTTGGGCCTGCCCTTAGCATTAATAAGCTTCAGCACTAGACACAAGAGTTTTATTCACTGGTGGGGAAATTTTCTTGTTTTAAAAAATGCAATTAGAGAAAGGGCATCTACTTCTTAGGGGCTGCAGTGACAGCAGGCTTCTCTTCCCGAGTGATGGGAATGGTGCGCTCAGGGCCAGAGGCCTGTTTCCTTGGTCCATTCACACTGAGGACCCCATCCGATGACAGGGATGAAGTAATGGCGAGAGGGTCCACATCTGCTGGGATCCGGTATTTCCTATGGAACTCCCGGGAAATGAAACCATGTTCATCCTAATCCAAGAGATGTGGAAAAAGGCACAGAGGTAAGAATAGGAAAATAGCACCACTTGCTCAGAACTCAGACATCCTCCTTCCCCTTAGATGTGACGAAATGCCATGGCAACATGAGAGACAGCTTTTCTGTTTGGGGCTAAGATGAAGTTGTCTAGCTGGTCTCTCCTACCAGTGAGAATCTGAGAAGTCTGAAACAGGCAAAACCTCACAGCTGTCCAAACCCTGAGGCATGGAAATGTTTAGAGGTATTTTCCAAAAGTTTAGATCAATGCCTACAGGTTTTGGAATATCATCCAGCATTGAAGATCTAATTCCCTGAAGAAGCTCAGATATTGTCCTGACTACAGGAATGTCCCAGGCCAATAGGACTGCTGCTGTGTTAAATACATACATACATACTCCTTCCAAGGAGACTGTGACCCAAACTTAAATATGCAAAATGGAAATAGCTTGAAGACCTCAAATTGTACAGTTTGATGCAGAAGGTTCTGAATTATCACTAATTGGTAAGAAGCAAACTCATTCAAAAACCCTCCCTGAAAGTAATGAGAAGCTACTCCATTCTCTAGAATTCTGCTGAAGAGTAGTTGACCCTAACCCTGCTGAATTTCAAGCATTTGTCCAGACAGGCTCTCAACATTTTTCCACTTGTGCTCCAGGGTAATAGGAGCTGAGTACAGCTCGGAAACTTAGGCAAACCAAGTAGTTAAACGTTAAGATGGGCTAAAGAGAAGAGGATTCCTGAACACTAAAAAGTCCCAAACTCAAGGGCCTTTAGAATGCATACAGTTAATTTAATTATGTAAAGCAACCAGGTGTCCGACAAGCTCTGTGCCTAAATCAGTGCTCTTCACCCTGGAGTATACATTACAATTATCTAGGGAGCTTTTAAAAATTCTGATGCCTGTGTCCCACTCCTAAAAATTCTAATTTGACTGGTCTGAGATATGCCTCAGCATCGGAATTTTTTAAAATTCCCCTCTTGATTTTGATGTGACCAAGGTTGAGAACCACTGGCTTAAATGAAAAGTAAACATCCATCTATCCCATCTAAGGCAATCAAATCAAATTCAAACAAACAAACAGACAGCAAAGATCACTCTCTGGCCAAAACAATAACAATACCAGGTCTATCCCTGTTGCCAGACCCTAATGGTTTAGGGCCGGAATGCTGCTGGCAGAGGGTGATGGCAGTGTCTGGCACACAGTATGCACTGAATGAATGAACAGAAGAGAAGACAGGCTACATACCTGGCGCTCTTCATGTTTGCCATGCACCTCAATCACATCTCCCAGCACCTTGACCTTGAGTTCTTCTGGGGAGAAGTGCTTCACATCCAGGTTGACAGAGAATCTGTCCTTCTCCAGACGCATCTAGAAATAGCAAAGCGGGAGAAAGGGGTAAGAGAAATAAAAGTGGGAATGTGGATTACTAGTGCAATCTCATCATTCTGTAGACTTGCTTTCTAGTCAGGTAGTTTATCCTCCTCTTTTTTACTTAAAATCCCTTTTTGAATAAGCATGGCTCTGTGGTTCAGGGGAGCTACCACTGTGGTACCCAAGGTACCACTTGATCACCAGCCCCTAACTTTATTTACAGGGACAAGGAAGAAGATAGGCCACACAAGGGACCTAGCACAAGGATGGATCTGGGCATTGCTTCTGCCACCTCTCTCGTCCCAATGCCTGGCCTTGTCATTTGTCTGTGAGACAAAGGACCCTTCTTCTTGCTCAGATCTCTGCCAAGTTTCCCACCCACTCAATCTGGAATGTTCTGCTGGACCTGATTGTCCTTCCAAAGCCCTTGCCCACTCAACTCCTGTTTACACTTGGATATTTTTAAAACGGTGTTATCTGTGACAGCTTCTGTCAACCTTATATGTTCACCCCATTCTCCCACCCTCTTAGGACAAGTGGGGGGTCCTAACACTGGACCTACATTCTTTCCTCCATAGGCCTGAACCCAGGACAGTGCCCTGTCACAGCCCTGAGAAACCGGGAAAATCTTAGAAGAGAAGATAAGAAGGAAGAAAACAGTGGTTACTGTCTCCAGCTCCACACAGTAGAGAGGAAAAGCTCGGGATGTGGTAGGGCTGTGTCTTGGCTCCAAAACTTGAAATGATAACATTTTTCAGGAGTATGAGGTATTAGAAGTAGTAAGCAAAGGAGTCTGAAGGTAGCTCTTTCTTTGTAGATCCTTATTAACCAAACCAGAAAGAAGCATCCTACTTAAAAGTTAGGGGATAAAAGATGATCTTCATAGCACATGGAGGAAATGTAATAAGTAGGATATAGAGGAGCATCAAAGGCAAACAGGTGACTGGAGGAGAGAGGAACTAGTAGCCTCATCTCTTTTCACTGCAGGATACACAAGTGCCTATCTTAAGACACTTAGCCATAGCCAGATTTAGAGGAAAAGTAGAGTGCATGGGGATGTTTCCAGAAGGTTCAGGAAACTCTCCTGCCTATAGAAGGGAGACTAACCTCTGAGAGCCCAGTGTCAATCCAGCTGGGTGCCCGCAGCCCAGTGTCAATCCAGCTGGGTGTCCGAAAGAATGATGATGGCCGAAGGTAGAAGGGGCTCAGGGAAGTAGAAGCTGGGAAGAGATCAGACTCCAGCAGGTGCTCTCCGAAGAACTGGTCAAAGAGGCGGCTGGGGGAGTGGAAAGGAAAGAAGGGGCGGCGGATCCAGGGGTGGTGGATGGCGATGTCCATGGTGGCTGGTGAGTGTCGGGGGTCAGCTGGCTGGTCAGCTCCTTCAGCTGCCGCTACAGCCAGCCCCTTATATACGCAGTCTTGTGAAGCTTCTGGAATGATGATGTCAGGGGTTTTATTATCCCAGCTCACCACCCCGTTCATGGAGACTTGTGATCGGGGATTTGGCAGTGTGACACATACCCAGTACTCACTGAGCTAAGAAAAGAGAAATATAAACACGTCTGACCTGTCCAGTGACTTGTCCTGGACTTGTTTCACTAGCTTTCTGCCCACACCCAACGGCACCCCTCCCCTCCCCGTTTGGGATACGGTCTGGAATCCCAAGCAGGCGGATGGTGTGCCCCTCCTCCTCTCCAGCTCGCCAGCTAGGGGAATAGGCCAGCAACTATCTTGGGCCTGGGCAGGAACTGGAATCTTCCTTGGCTGGGACCCAGAGACATTAACTCTTTGCGGGTCCCTAGAGGAGAGCAGTGGTTACCACCATGTCAGTGGCAGGCATCTGTGTGGTGCTCCAGGTTGACCCAGGTTCTGGTAAGTACCCTGACATTAACCTGGGCAGGAAGACCCCTCACCACATGCCAAAGAAAGAATAGGAAAGTGTCTTGCATCTTTCACCCTCCACGGATCACAGAACATTAACTACAGAGAGCTTTATGAGTAGGGCGCAAGGTGCCCGCGAGGAGAAAGGTGGTGTGGAAAATGTGCAAACTGTGAGGGTCTCAGCTGGGGCTCTCCAGGACCTCTGACCGGCCTCCCCTCCCCAGCACACTCCCCAGCCAGGACCCCCAGCTGTCCTCACTGGTCCCCTGCAACAGCTGAAGGGTTGCTGGGGAGGGGACGGGGGTCCAGGCGGCGCTGGCCACACACCCGAGGCTGGCGCTCAGGGCCCCACTGCCTGCCCCTCCCCCAGACTCGGCACTATTTTGGGTGGTGTAGACCCCGCCCCCACCTCGGACCGAGCCCTGGCTGTCCAGGCAGCTGGAGGGGTCGCGCTGCACCTCGGACAAGCGCCGCCGACGCGTCCGCAGCCATGTCTGGCCGCTCGGTGCCACATGCCCACCCGGCCACCGCCGAGTACGAATTTGCCAACCCGAGCCGCCTGGGCGAGCAGCGCTTCGGAGAAGGTATGGCACAGACTCGACTCCTTTGCCTCCCACCCCCACCGCCTGAAATTCTGGGCTGACTTCCCGACGGCGCTGGCCTCCACCCCACGCAGGGCTTAACTGAACTGCTGGGGCGAGCCATCTCCTAGCCCAGCTCCCCTCACCCCTCCAAGCAGCTCTTGCCCTTCCGCCCATCCCAGAGCAGACGCGGCGCCCGCAGTGCTCCGATACCGCCCACCCCGCTGCTCCCTTAGAATGCTCCCTTAGAATGCTCCCTGTTCCCCTCTTCCACCCAGTTCTCCATCCCCACCTTTTTCCTTCCTCAGTCCCCTCTCCCCAGCTGCCTCCTTCTGGTCGTCGTGTCCCTCCCTGCCCTGTCCTACTCCTCCTGCCCCCCCCCCCCCCCCCCAGCCCGCAGGTCTCCTTTCAGCCCTGTTTCCGCCCCGCAGTCCCTCATCCTGCCTCTTGCCTTCTCTCTCTGCCCCTCAGGCCTCCTGCCAGAAGAGATCCTGACCCCCACCCTCTACCATGGCTACTATGTCCGGCCCCGGGCCACCAGAGCTGGGGAAGGCAGCAGGGCAGGGGCCTCTGAGCTCAGGCTCAGTGAGGGCAAGTTCCAGGCATTTCTGGATGTGAGCCATTTCACCCCAGATGAGGTGACCGTGAGGACTGTGGACAACCTGCTGGAGGTGTCTGCCCGGCACCCCCAGCGCCTGGACCGCCATGGCTTCGTGTCCCGAGAGTTCTGCCGCACCTATGTCCTGCCTGCTGATGTTGACCCCTGGCGGGTTCGTGCTGCTCTCTCTCACGATGGCATCCTTAACCTGGAGGCGCCTCGGGGTGGCCGACATCTGGACACAGAAGTCAATGAGGTCTACATCTCCCTCCTCCCTCCACCCCCTGACCTGGAGGAAGAGGAGGAGGCAGCCAGAATTGAGCCCTGAGTGCCACAGACCCAGTACCCAGCCAGCAGCTGCCACCACCCCAGAGGTAGCAGCATCCTTGGGGGAAGGGAAAAGTGCATGGGCCACAGTGTATGGTTTGGTCCTTTGGGACGTGTCCTAGCTTTTAGTTTAGTTCTGGGAAGAGCTGAATAAACCCAAATCGCAGGGCCTTGTTTGTGCTGCCTCCTATTCTGTGGCCTGGAGGATGGGGTGGGAAGGGAGGAGGAGGTCATAGCTAGAAAAAAAGCTCCTCAGTTAGATGTGCTCAACATTGCAGAACCCCGAGCTCACACTTGGATGCTGAGATCACACCCGGAAGCTGACACTGGCTCCTGATCACATTCCTAGCCATAATTTTCTCACAATGCAACAAAGGAGAGTGATCCTGGGAGGGAAAAGGGATATGCCATCTAAACAACCCACAGGGCACTGTCTGAGCTGGTGATTAGAGACACAAAAACAAGGGTCTCCAGACTGTCTGGCCTGTTTTGGGTAGGGGTTGGAAAAACAGGTTTTGGCTGGAGAGAGTTGCCTAAAGCCCTGTTTTCCCATATTAAGGTCTGTCCACTGAAAAATGGTCTCTGATTCTGAGGGACCAAGTAAGTATATATACTCAGGGGCACAGGCACAGAAACCTCTGCTTTTGTCACCGAACCCCATAGTCTCCCACCTTCTGCACAAGGGGAGGCCCATGAGAGAAAGCATCAGCCTCGTATCTTAGAACATCCCAAAGAGAGGAATCACTGCATCACCCAATGTAATCTGAGACTAAACGCAGGGGATCGAGGGCTACTGGTGTGATTGCAATGGCCAGGGAAGTGTCCTTTGGAAGCAGGGTGTTATTACTAGAGCTATGGTGTGTGCAGGAAAGCCTGGGTTTCTGACCCCAGTTACTCTCTGTAATCAAGAAAGTATGTGTGAATATGATTTGGGAAGTGTCAGAAGATCTCCCTGCCCCAAAATATATCTTTTATGAGGCTGAGGTAGATATCTGAAATTCTTCCACTAAAGTGGTTGCTTCTTAACTTTGTTGGGTTACAGACCTATTTGAAAATCTGAGAGAAGCCATAGATCATCTTACCAGAAAAATACATATGCTCCCAAATTTGGCATACAATTTGAATAGAGTTCTTGAGATCCATTCATATGCTCCTCTTAGGCACTGTGGATCCCCAGGACAAGAATCCTCACTTGAAGAATCCAATTTTTGGTTAAAGGATTACCATCAATTTAAAATGAAAGCAGCCTAGCCAGTGTAGCTGAGTGGATTAAGTGTCATTCCGTGAACTGTGAGGTCCCGGTTCAATTCCCAGTCTGGGCACATGCCCAGGTTTCTGGCTCAGTCCCCAGAGAGGGGCGTGCAGGAGGCAGCTAATCAATGTTTCTCTCTCACATTGATGTTTCTATCTCTCTCCCTTCCTCTCTCTAAAAATAAGTAAATAAATAAATAAAACATTTAAAAATGAAAGCATGCTTCAGAGAGATAACTATTGATATATTCATTTGTTCGTCCATTCAACAAATATCAACCCCCAAGTGATATACTATGGGAGATACACATTATAAATATAAATTATAAAAAACTATGGTCTTTTATTGTCTACACTTAGGAGTCTAATTGAGAAGAAAAAAATTTTTAAAAGGTTCTACTCAGACTTCAACCAAAACAGCTTCACATTGATCTGTTTTGTAACTGGGATTTTAACATGAGCTTTATTTAAAAGAAAAGGTTCCTTAGCTAGAAAGAAAACTGAGACTTCTGATTTAGTCTAAATCCCCACTCCATTCAAAATCTTTTAAATTTATTAGTCAACTTCTTCTGGTACATTTTGAATGACAGAGAACTAAGAATTTCATAAAGTAGTTAACTCCATTTTCTTTTTGGACATGTCTGTTATAAATTCTTCTTTTATTGAACCAAAATCTGCATTTTAGTAACATCTGCCCACTGGTTCTCGCTATGTCCAGAAAATAAATGCAATTCTTCTTTCACTTGAGAGTCTTTCAGATATTTAAAGATAACCATCCTGTTCTTCTAAGGCAGTGGTTCTCAACCTTCCTAATGCCACAACCCTTTAATACAGTTCCTCATGTTGTGGTGACCCCCCCACCCATAAAATTATTTTCGTTGCTACTTCATAACTGTAATTTTGCTACTGTTATGTCTTAGGCGACCCCTGTGAAAGGTCGTTCGACCCCCAAAGGGAATCTAAGGCTTCCCTTTAGCAACTACATACCTAGTTCTTTTGACCATATCTTATAGGACTTTCCATATCACTTATTACTCAGACAACTTTCTCTTGAACACACTGCCTTTTGACAACATAACTTGAAATTCAACATGTAATCCTAAAATCATTATTCCAGCTCTGGCTGGATAGCTCAGTTGGTTGGAGTGTTGTCCCAATGCGCCAAGGTTTCAGGTTTGACTAATCCTTATTCAGGGTGGGTGCAAGGAGTCAACCAGCGAATGCTAGCGAGAATGCCTAGGCCGGTGAACAACAAACTGATGTTTCTCTCTCTAAAAATAAAATAAATAAATAAATAAATAAATAAATACTCCAGTCGTGGACTGACTGGTACAGACCTCAGTGGAATAATCAATTCCCTTGTTTATCACTCGGAACCTCTATTAGTGCTGCTTTAGGTCTGTCTGGCTACCACAACACACTTTTGGTTCTTTTGGAGTTTGCCACCATCTAAAATCTCTTAGGTGTCTTTCTTTAAATTAGAAAAGGTGGCCGGAAAGAGACCAAACGTGGAGGGCTTTGAATGCTAGGCTAAGATGTTTGGGAAACAGGATGAAAAGAATACAGGTAATGATGGAGTACAGAACGGATTGCTGGGGAGAAGCATGGCCATGAAATAAGAGGCTAGTGCAATGATCCAGCACAAGATAATAAAGTAAGATCCTTTACTATCTGACAATTAGCTGAGAACAAGAAGAAATAATAGTAGTTAGGGCTTACTAAGAGCTCCCATGTGACAGGCCCTGGATTAGAGTTTGATTTACATTATCTCATTTGATCTTCACAATCCTGTAAGGCTGACAGTCCTACTGTCTCCTTTTTTCATAAGGAAAAAAGATGGGGGAGGAGTGAAGAGTCCAGGGTACTCTCTGTGGAGGGCAGGGTGGAGTGGGGGTCCTGAATGCCCATAAGAAGCACACAAATACCTGGGCGTCTGAACAGGCACTGAGGAGGGGAGTGGGAGCACTGGAGACAAGCCTCATGGGTTTCACCGGTTTTCCTGGAGCTCAAATTTTCTTTTTTAAATATGTTTTTATTGATTTTTTTAGAGAGAGAGGAAGGGAGAGATAAAAAACATTGATGTGAGAGAGACACATCCATCAGCTGTCTCTGCACACCCGCTACTGGGGATTGAGCCCGCAACCCAGGCATGTGCCCTGATTGGGCATCGAACCTGGATCTCTTAGTCCATGGGATGATGCTCAATCCATTGAGCCTCACCGGCCCGACAGGAGCCCATATTCTCTACAGAGGAATTTGCTCAGCTGTATCCTGGTTGCTGGTGAGTGTGGAATGAGTGTATTTTGGGTCATTGGAAGGAGAAGCTGAGTTGAGCTGTAAGTGGGGACTCTACAGTTCTGTACTGGGAATGGGGAAGTGAGTGGTTAAGAAGTGCTGAGGCCATTTCAATCAGAGTCATATGATTTTCTACTAGAAACGGGGTAAGGAAATAGGTTCAGTCCTCCATTATTACAGTCTTAACAAAAAAGTGATTTGCTCATGTTAATTCCTATAGCAAGGGAGAAAAAATATAGAAGGAATCCATTTTCCTAAATTTAAGTTTGCTAGAGACTACAGTGTTCAAACCCAGATTCTGGATAAGGATAATAAGAAACTGATACTGATAACCCTGAAAGTGAAACTCAATTAGAGCTGAGTAGTGCTGGGAAACATAAGGTAAGACTCTTCACTCCATTATAGAGGATATATTTCAATAACAGTGTGATGTCGTGGAGAAACACTTCCTAAGGAAACCCAGAGTCCTTTTGTATCTCAGGTTTCTTTTCAATGGAGCTTGAAGCTCAAAGTTCATGGCTCCATCAAAGCAGCTCCAAATCCCCAAGGTGAGGTAGTTCTCACCTATGTGTGTTCCTCTACTCTTTGGCTGGAGCAGTCACCTGGGAATCATTCCAGCAGGTGGCTTCCAAAGTCCAACCTGCTAGGTTGAAATCTGACACTGACAGAGACTCCCTGGGAGCTGCTACTGAAAACTAAACCAGGAACCAGGAAATGCACACGAGCCTCTTTATGTAGAAAATCAGCTGGCTCCCTCGGAGAGAGAGCAGGATGGGAAACCGGCTCTGCTGCGGGGGAAGCTGGTGAGTAGGGGCAAGGGGAGAGGGTAACATCTGTGTGGGTCGACACGGAGGCCCTGAGAATAAACTAGAGCTGCGTGCAGATAGTTCTCTGCCAGCCTCCCACTGCCACCTTCCTCTGCCTGGCACCTCCCTGTGCCACCACCAGAACAGCACCTCCTTCTGTGCTCACTCCTTTCAGGAGACTAGAAAAAACAGCCAAGCCAGCTGTCAGGAGAATGCCCAGAGCAGGCTGGGATGGTGAATTGGCATTGTTTCTCTTTGTCCTTCTCTTCCTCTCCTTTCCCTTTCCCTCCCAAATGATGATAATAATTGTAGCACTTGATAGCTTACTGTGCCAGCCACTTTACAATCTTATTTAATTTTCCCAACAATTCTATGAGGGGTGGCCTTACTCCTCCTCTTGTTTTTACAGCTGAGAAGCTAAGGCTCAGAGCAGTTGTCCGAGGTCACATGGCTAGTAAGCAAGTAAACCAAGATCCCAACTTAGATCTATCTGACTTCAGAGCCCACACTTCAAACCACTGCATAATACTGCCTCCCAGATCAAGCAAATTAACATTGGAGAAATATTTATTTGAAAGGGCAGAACAGGGGACAAGGAGATTACCTATGAAATATTTGAATATAACTTTTCACACTTATTTGCTGTGTGAGCTTAGGCAAATCCTGTGTACAGATAACATGACCTATGTTTAGATCACAGGTTTGAAGAGCAGAGGACATGTGAAAACCTCAGTGGAAATTAATTGTAATGTCTTCATTGTTCTTTCCCAGAGCTGTCATCACTAGAAATGCCTGGACCTGGTTTTAAACAACCAGTGCCTTCTTAGCTATTCCATTCCACGCCTGGGGCAATGTTGACAATACCTTGTTTATGAATAAAGCATCATCATATTTACAGAGATAACTGAAGTACATTGAAAAGGGCATATGATTTTGGAGTCAGTACAATGGATTCAAGTCCTGTTCTACTATCCTTCATTTATCCGTTCATTTATTAAACAAATATTTTATTCAGTACCTATATGTACCAGGCATAGTGACAGATGCAGATTTAGTAATAATAGAATATTTGGTCTCTGCCTTCTTAATTAACATGTTTTAGAGCCTTAGCTGACCCATCTGTAAAATGGGAACCATAAGACATGTTTTCTGATATGTTGTCAGGATTGGGGGAAAAAAGCACTTTTTAAACTCTGAGATGTCCTATAGACATAGGATATCTAGAAACATATTAAAGCTTCTAAAAAGGGGGGGTATAACAGTTTCTTTCACTACCCGTCTTCTCAAGTCTTCATGTTCCTCATTTTTGGTTTTTTCCTCTGATGGTGGTAGTCATAGTAGTCAGCTTTGCCGGACACTCATCATATGCCAGGCAGCTAGCTGAGCAGCTTACATTTATCATTTTATTTAATTATTACAATGGTTCCATGAGGTTTAGGTTCTATTATCATCCTCATTGTATTGATTAAAAAATGGAAGCCAGCCCTGGCCGGTTTGGCTCAGTGGTTAGAGCGTCGGCCTACGGTCCAGAGAGGCCCGGGTTCGGTTCTCGCTGGGGGCATGTGCCTCGGTTGCAGTTTGTCCCCAGCCCTGGTTGGGTTGTGCGGGTGGCAGCCACTCGATGTGTCCCTTTCACATCGATGTTTCTCTCTCTCTCCCTTCCGCTCTACTTGAACAACAACAATAAAAAAATGGAAGCCAAATGGAGTTAAAAACTTGCTGAAGGTTACACCGCTAGCCTGATAGCATCAGTCTGACTAGAGCCTGGCTAGAAACAGTACACCAGATATTCCAACCAAAATACAGGGTGGGTAAAAGTAGGTTTACAGTTGTTCATATGGAAAATAATACAATAAATAATAATACAAGAACAAACTCTGTGTTTCGAGTACTCAGAACTGTAAACCTACTTTTGCCCCACTCTGTATATTTTTTCCTCTGAAAATATTAGTAGGACTGGGTAAATATTATTTCTCTCTATTTCTCATCATCTCAATAACTTCCAGAGACTTAAAGATACTATAATTAAAGAGATTTTTATTTTAAAATATTATTTCCTCTATTACAAAGTAATACATAATAACTGTAGAACATTTGGAAAATACCAAAGAGCAGAAAATAAGAACCATAAATATAAACAGCCAGAGATGACAGGTACATTTAAATAGATTTTCATGTAATCCCCCCCTTTTTTTGTTGTTAATCCTCACCCGAGGGCATTTTTCCATTTTTTATTCAGATAGAGTGGGATGGAGGGAGGGAGGGAGGGAAGAGAGAGAGAGAAACATCGATGTAAAAGGGACACATTGAGTGGCTGCCTCCTGCACGACTCAACCAGGGCTGGGGACAAACTGCCACCGAGGTACGTGCCCTTAGCGAGAACCGAACCCGGGTCTCTCTGGACCACAGGCCGACGCTCTAACCACTGAGCAAAACCGGCCAGGGCTCCATTGATTTTTAGATAAAGTGGAAGGCAGGGAGAGAGAAAGAGAGAGAGAGAGAGAGAAACATCTGTGTGAGAGAGACACATTGATTGATTGCCTCTGGAACAGCCCCGACCAGGGCCAGGGATCAAATCTGCAACCCACGTACATGCCCTTGACCAGGAATCAAACTTGTGACCGACACTAACTGCTGAGCCAAATCGGCCAGGGCTCCATGTAATACTTTTTTGTGCCTATGTGGATAGTTGTTATCCCAAAACATATCTTATTATCTTTTTATTAATAATTATCTTTATTTATTAATAAAGAGTAAAATTTTCAACTATATTAGGTGTTCCTCAACATCTTTCTTAAATGGATGTGTAATGTTCCATTGAGTAGAGATGCCATTTACTTGATTAGTGTCCCATCTTGGACATTTAGGATATTTCCTGTTTTTTTACAATTGTAAATTATGCTACAGTAAGTGTCCATATTTGCACCTGATTATTTCTTAGACTATGGAATTGCTACATCAAAGGGTATGCACATTTGTTTAAGGCTTTTTATACTTATTGCCAATTGCATTCTAGAAAGATTGCACCAATTTCAACTCCTACTACTAAGATAGGAGAGTGCCCATTTAGTTTCCTTAATTCTAAGCTAAAGTCTTGTCACCTAAGAGTAACTGAATATTCCATTTGGGTTGTGTCCAGGCATTGTGCAATATCCAACTTGGGAGCAGGCTCCATTTACTAAAATTGGGTCACCCAAGTCTGTGTCATTTTAGAATTAATATTTTCTTTATCCATTTAAGTAAAGTATGTAGAAAGACAATAGTGACAAAAGGCAGGGAATTAGAGGCTAAGCAGTGGTAAGAGAAAGGAAGAAGTCAAGTGGCAGAAGACGAAGTAGAAAGACCCAGGAGTTTCAAAGCCTTTCTTCTGAATCGCCTGTAGAGTTCAGATGGTGACGCTAACTGCTCTCAACTCAGCAAGCGGCATTAAATCCCAAATCAAACCAAAACACAAACCCCTGTCAGATATGTGTATGGAAACCCTGACTTTTCCACAGTAGTAAATCAATGGACATGATTTAGAAGTTTCCATCTTTTTAAGTAGCAAAAGAAGGAAACTTCCTGGAGGAGGCAGAAGTCAGACAAATAGGCTGGCCCTGGTGAGGGCTGGAAATGTACTAGCAAGGAAAGGCATCGGAGTAAGCTCCAAACTATTCAGCCTATTTCCTCAGACAAGTGTTGTTTCCTGGCCATAAAACAGTTGACGATCATAGACACCCCGGCTCCATTGGGGACCCGAGGGGCCCAGAAATGAGTATAAGAAGCCTGTCCTACCACGAGCTCCGGGCAGCTGAGTCACTCACCAAATTCAGAGCTCCCAGTGCTGTGGGCCTTAAAGGTTAAACATCTCTCACATCCGTTAATTAAAAACAAGGACAGGGAAGCAGGGAGGGAGGTCACCTGTTAGGAAAGGGCTTTGAGAAGCCTTAACTAGTGAGCCTTGCTTATGGCAGCTTCTGTGACTCCCGGAATGTGAGAACCCCAGGTTGCAGAGACCCCTAAAAAGGCAGTGAAGCAGAAGTAAGAGGGTCTCCGAATCCAGGAGTATTCCATTATATGGCAGGTCTCTCTTACCCAATGCTGGAATTAGCCTGTTAGACAATCCCAGAATAGCCGTCAATCCAGCTACATCCCCTGGCATGTAATGACTGGTTGCCTGAGTCTGTATTTTGGGTTTGGTTATGTCAGTTGTTCCACTCTGCCTTCCAGAACCATCTCTTTGGGAGAGCTGTGGTATCTCTAAATGCTCTGGGGCTGGCTCAGGGTGACTGTGTCAGAGGGAGGGGCAGGGAGGGAAGACAGAGGCCAGGGGTCTTACACATGGGTGATCTGTTTTTCCTTTCACAGGAGCTGCCCGTCAATTTTCCAGAGGAAAAAGAAAATGGGTAACTAGGGGGAGGCAGGGGGGAGGGTAGCAAATTAGAGAAGATAATAGAGGCAGTGTCTTTGGAAGGAGCATAAGGGTGGGAAGAGTTGTGTTGAAGGGATAAGAGGAAACATTGCACCGCAGAGAATCTTCAGGCTACTGGGGCCACGGACAGCTCTGAAACACTGGGTCTCATCCTTTCTGTTATCTCGGAGTGGCAAGGTTGTTTGCTCATTCTTTCATTCATCCAGCAAAAGTTTACTGAGCTTATATATTGTATGTGAGGCACTGTAGAATCCAAAGGAGGCAGAGAGGCACAAGAGGAAGGACATGCTGTCTTGGCCCTTAAAAGAGCAGAAAATCAAGTTTGAGAGATAGATGTGTAAACAGGTAATTGCAATACCATCTACTAGTGCTATAAGAGATGCATACTCCAGCTGTGGAAGAATAGGGAGAAACATCAGTGTTGAAGAAATAATACCAAATTCACAAGTTGGAAGAGGAGCAGAGAAGAGAGGCTACTTTAGGCAAGGGAATTATCTCATGCAGAAAAAAGAAAGAAAAGAAAGAGGAGAGGCTGACTTGGTTGAAAGCGACCAATTGTTTGGTAGCTGAGCATTTACCACATTGCACTGCAATATAGTCTGTGTACTTATTTATCTCCCCTAGTAGACTGTAAGCTCCCTGAGGCCAAGGACACAGCCTATTCATTCTTCTATTCCCACAATGCAGCATAGCCTGGAAGCTAATGGGCTCTCAACATACATTTGTTGAACTCTGTTAGGGACCAGTGAAAAATGAGGAGGGGAGATATGAGCAGATTGTAAAAGGGCCAGGTTGCATTCCCTGCTAAGGAGTTTGGATGTGGAAATGATATAAGTGACAAAGATAGAATGGATGTAGGGAGATTAGTTAGAAGCTCACCATAATAGTTTAATAGATATTTGAAGAGGGCAACCTCAGTAGAGACAGGGAAGAGAAAATGGATTTAAGTTGGATTTCCTCCTCTCAGGGGGTCAACCAAGACGAACTCTGAAGCAGCAGCAGCAGAAGCAGAATGGCACAAAGGTAATGACAGGCCTCCCTGTCCCTTCTCGAGGGCTCAGACATGGGATGCCAGGACTCAGCTTTTTCACCCTGGAACAGACACAACCTAGTCATCTATAGGACTTGCTTGTTCTGCCCATCGTTCCCTGCCCCCCCTAAGAGGCAAAGTAAAGGGACATCAGTCTACCTGACCCTGCACTGAAGGTGAGGGACCAAACCAAGCCAAGAATCTCTCTAATGCTGTCCATTCCTTGCAGGGCCATGACACAACAGGACTTGCGTGTGAGCGAGTGTTGAGGCAGCCTGCGTCTCAGGAGAGGAGCCAAGGCCTCAGGTCAGAGGACAGCAGCTTACATTATGCAGTCATTCAAGTGTGCAGCCATCCCCAGCCACGCTCTGCCCGGGAGGTGAAGCACCAGCAGTCAGAAAATGCGACAGAGTATGCCACCCTTTGCTTCCCCCAGGCCACACCCTGCTATGACAGCAAGAACGGAACCCTAGTGTGAGCCGTGGGGAGACAGGACCAGTTTCCATCATTTCACTGCTACTCTGGTGGGAGAATCGGCTGCTTCGGGGAACTGGGTGGCAGCCCAGGAATGGCAGCCACATTTAGAGCTTAAAGAATTCAGGAGCCCCTGGAGTTGTGTGTCCCCAGTCTTGCTCTCTTCCCTGTACCTATCTTATTTGCCACTGTTAACTTGGAGTTGTATTTGGGTTTGTCAGGGGTGGGTGAAGTTGTTCTTAAAATAAAGGGGCTAGGTTGAGTGTGCAGGAAGGTAGGTTTTGACCCCTACCTTTGCTCCTGCTCTCAAGAAAAGTGCAGGAAAAAACAGGTTACCCTTTAAACACTTGGGCTGATCTTGTTAAACTTAATTTAATGGTATCCCTTTTACATACCTGAACATCCAAAGCTGAAGAAGAGGTGCTCTGAAAGATTTCTGAGCTTTTGTACAAGCCCCTAGGCCTGGCTTGGGCCATTTCCTTAGGGGCCGGGTCAAGGGGCCCCGACCTGAACAGTCAAATGAGGGCAGGGACCGAGGCTTGGAGGAGGCATTTCCCAACCATCCGTTACTAGGACTTGAAGTCACTGACACTGACAGCACTGAGTGGCCAGACGGCTGGCTCTCGAAGGTGCAGAGCCGGTAGGGACAATAAATCGCTTGCGGAACGTGCCTGGTGCGTTTTCTGGGGCGGGGACTTACGGGCTCTACGTAGGTGCAGCGGGTCTCGCCTGGCCTACGGGCGGCTTGCAAGTCCGGCCAGGAGAGAGAGGCGGGCCTCGGCACCCCACTCTGCAGGCTTCGGCTGCGGCGGGGCGAGAGTGTGGTTTGGACCCACGCACGGGAGATGAGGTCCCATCTGCAGAAAGCCGGAGCTCCGGAGCAGAGCCAGGGCCGGCAGGAGGCGCCTCGGTACAGGCAGGGGACCCGGTCCCGGCAGTCAGAAGGCGGGGGTCAGGACAGGCAGGGGTGGGGCCAAGGCCGGCGGGGCTGGGACCGGCCGCCAGAGGGCGGGGCGGGGCGGGGTCTGGGCCGGGAAGGCGGGCGGGCCGGTCGGTGGCAGGCTGGGGCCGGCTGGAGGCGGATCTGGCGGCGGCCAGCCTGGCGTCACCATGGCAGCGAGAACGCGGCGGCGACGAGGCAGCTAGAGGAGGCCCTGCTCAGGAGGACTGGGGACAGAGATGCTGCACCAGACCCACCGACGGTTTAAGAGGTAAGTGCTGAAAGGCGGCGGGTAACTGGGAGGTATTCTTACTACCGGCTGAACGTCCGATCAGGACCCGGGCCGCGCGGGGCCGCGAGGGAGGGAGCGAAGGAGGAAGTTTCGACCCATTCTGAGCCGTACAGGTTCTCAGTGTGCCATTCCTGGTTCAGACTTTCACAACTTGGAGACAAGCGGTGATGCACTTCCCTTTCTCAACCTGAACACCATCCTTCCCAAATGCAGCCGGCCCTGGTTTGTCCCTGATTCCTTGAGATGGATAGAGTACTGAAATCGTAATCGCAGCATAAAAAGTTGGTAATAATAGTATCAACTTCATGGAGTGTGAGAATTTTAAGCACGTAGAATGACACATAATATGTAGTCAAATGTTGGCTGCCATTAGCATCATTATCACTACTTTCCTGTGCTGTACCCTGGCACAGACCCGGTGCAAGTGGATTCAGAGAGGTGGCTAGAAACTGCCTCCATCACTAACCGGCTGAGCCAATTTCCTATTAGCTGGGGGGTAATCAAATGAACTCTATTTCCAAGAGTTATTTACTGTGACCGTCAACTAAGATGATGTAGGTAGTAGCACTTTGTAAACTTAAAGTACTATAAAAATTTCTGCCTTAGAATATAAATGCTGCCTATCTGTTTAACACTGAATTTCTGAGGATGAAGGGAAGTGTGTGTCAGGAGCAGAGCTCCCAATATTTCTCCTGATTGTCTTCAGAATCCTTCCTTTGGTTTTAGATGGAAAATGTGGGGAGGAGGGAAAATGCATCCTTATTTCACTAATGATAAGGGCACATTACTCTTTCCTTTATTACTATTAAAACTTAACTGACTCGTTTTTAAAATGCCATTAGGTTAGCCCTGTTGCGATTATAAGATCTTGGGCTAGGGTTCCTGCTAACTAGCATCCTATTTCTGATATTTCCAAATGACTTAAGTTGGTAGGTTTGAGGCCCGGGCCTGACCCCACTAGGTTGGTTTAGCTTTTGGAATTTTTTCCCCCTGTCCTATAGTTTTACACATTTCTTTTTCTTCTTATTTCAAGGTGGCCCTGATCTGGCTCTTCTGGGGACTGTGAAGATGGGGACCCATGTGGTTATGAGACTCTGTAACTCCCTGTTGCCAGCAGAGCCCTCTGTAAGTTTCTGGCATACTGTTTAGAGGAGTGTAAGGACCTTAATGGCTTTTCAGTACACTTCTACAACTGGGGTATTTATCCTGGAACTAGATTGTAATATATTTGCTTTCTTTTCTTGCTTCCCCTTCTTATGGAAACTCTAGCTCACTTGATTCATTATCTTTATCTGTAATTAATAAAAAAAGGCAGAGGTTGAAAAATTCTAGATATTAATAAAAAACGTATGCATTAAGATTTAAATGATGCTTTTGTAAAAAAAAAAAACATGTTAATTATAGAGCATTTGAGAAATACTGCAAACCATGATTTAAAAAACCCATAATTCTCTAATCCAGAAGCAATTCACTGTTAATATTTTAGAACATTTTCTTCTAGTCTTTTTTTCTATGTATATTATTTACATATTTGAGGTCATATAATGTACTTTTTAACTTTTGCTTTTTTAACTTAATATTTGTTAATACAAAATTATTGAAATGTTTGTTTTAATGTAGGTACAAATGTTTGGTAAACATTATAATGTCCTTAATTTTTTTGACCTTTCTGCTATTGTTGAACTTTTAAGTTACCCTCTTCCCATTGTAAATAAATAATTTATTTCTTCATTTAAAATATTTTTTTTCTTAGAGTATAGTCCCAGAAGTGGAATCCCTAGGTTTAAGGATGTGAACATTTTAGCCCTGGCCGGTTTGGCTCAGAGGTTAGAGCGTTGGCCTGCAGTCCAGAGAGACCCAGGTTCGGTTCCCACTAAGGGCACGTACTAAGGGCACGTACCTCGGTTGCAGTTTGTCCCCGGCCCTGGTTGGGTCGTGTGGGTGGCAACCACTCGATGTGTCCCTTTCACGTGGATGTTTCTCTCTCTCTCTCTCTCCCTCCCACTCTATCTGAACAAAATATTGAAAACAATGTCCTCGGGTGAGGGAAAAAAGAAAAGGATGTGAACATTTTAAGGAATAAGTTAACTTCTAATTTTTTTCTTTATTAATTTTAGAGGGAGAGGAAGGAAGAGGGAGAGAGAGATAGAAAAATCAATGTAAAAAAACATTGATTGGCAGACTCCTGCATGCCCCTCACTGGGGTTTTGGCCCACAACCTGGGCATATGCCCTGACTGAGAATCAAACTGGCTACCTCTTGGTGCATGGGTCGGCACTCAACCACTGAAACACACCGGCCAGGCTAAGTTAACTTTCAAAAGAAGAATTGTGGTGTCAGATTTTTTGTACATCCTGCAGAAGGCAGAGGGATATTAATTAGGAGATAGAAAGGTCCTTAGTCAAAAGCTGGCTACCTCTAGCAATGAGACCTTGGGTCCTATAGAAAGACTATTTCATGATAGTGCAGTTAGTATTGTGGAGCCCTAACACATCATGAATGGCAGTCCAGAGGCATAGGGGCATTTGCAACGTTTTCATAGTAGAGAAACTCAAGGATCACTTCCAAAATAGCCACCAGATGTCGCTTGTCTTAATTTAATTTTTACCTACAGGATAGCTGGCAGAAAACTTTGAAATGTAAATTTAAAAAATTCATGTTGAGCCTGGCCTGTTTGGCTCAGTGGTTAGAGTGTTGGCCTGTGAACCAATGGGTCGTGGGTTCGATTCCAGTCAAGGGTATGCACCTCGGTTGTGGTTCGTCCCTGGCCCTGGTCAGTAGTGCAGGAGGCAACCAGTCGATGTGTCTCTCTCATGTCGATGTTTCTCTCTCTCTCCTTCTCTCTCCCCTCTTCCCACTCACTCTATCTGAAGATAAACAGAAAAATATCCTTGGGTGAGGATTAATAAATAAATAAATTAATTAATCATGTTGAATATATTTGCATATCTGCTTTGGTATAGTTTATATTAAACACTAACATCTGGTGATTACTTTGGCAACATCCTACTCTAGTCTCTCACCATTTTCTCTCTTTTTTCCTTTTTCTACCCACTCAGTCTGTCACACTCATTTTTTTTTTTTTTAATCCTCACTCGAGGATATTCTTTACATTAATCTTCAGATAGAGCTGGAGGGAGAGAGGGAAGAAGAGAGAGAGAGAGAGAGAGAGAAACATCAATGTGAGAGAGACACATCGGCTGGCCGCCACCTGCACAACCCCAACTGGGGCTGGGGATGAACCGCAGCTAGGCACATGCCTCTAACCGGAATAGAACCTGGGACTCCATGGTCCATGGGCGACAATCTTACCATACCAGCCAGGGCGCACATTCATTTTGTACACTCTGTCCCCACATAATTAATATTGGAGTCTCAGTTTTACTTGTCTTCATTTTACTATTCTTTCTTTTAGTCTTATTTTTTGTATCTGTGTATGAGTATATGTATCTATGTATAACTGAGTTCTTGAAATTTTTGCTAAAAGAATAACACCTGGCATATAATAACATATAATTAATGAATAATTAATGAAAGAATACATTGATTAAGAGAGGAACATATAGAAAGATGCCAGAGATTATTTTTATTATTTTAAAATATGTCTTTACTTCTTTTAGAGAGAGAGGAAGGGAGGAGAGAGAGAAACATTGATGGGCTGCCTCCTCCACACCCCCTACTGGGGATTAAGCCTGCAACCCTGGGCAAGTGCCTGATAGGGAATTAAACCAGCAACCTTTTGCCCTGGCTGGTTTGGCTCAGTGGTTAGAGCGTTGGCCTGCGGTCTGGAGAGACCCGGGTTCGGTTCCCGCTAAGGGCATGTACCTCGGTTGCAGTTTGTCCCTGGCCCTGGTTGGGTCGTGTCGGTGGCGGCACTCGATGTGTCCCTTTCATGTCGATGTTTCTCTCTCCCTCCCTCCCACTCTATCTGAACAAAATATCAAAAAATGTCCTTGGGTGAGGATTAAATAAATAAATAAATAAATAAATAAAAAGACTTCCAGCTGTGGTAGTTAAAATTAAAAAAAAAAAAAAAAAAACAGCAACCTTTTGGTATATGGGACTACACTTAACCAATTGAGCCACACCAGCCAGGGCCAGAAATTATTTACTTTTGTCTTAAAAATACAGTAAAAGAGACAACAATTCACATTTCTAAATTAACTATAAGTGCTTAATGATATAGTATGGATCATGCTATGACCTTTGAATTTTAAAGAAAGGAAGGTTCATTTATCTATT